AAAAAAGTCTGAGGAGATGGAGACTACAGGAGGGAGGGCCCCACTTCCAGCACTCCTCTGGAGGACTAGACACCCCAAGGCCCTCACAAAACCTAACCTAGCAAGACACTGGCATTCCTTTAGAACTAGGACTCTAAAAGTGCACCATCCTGGTAGCAGGGATTTAGCTCTGTAGCAGAGGAGCATGCCTGGCCAGTTCAAGAGCCTGGGATTGGTCCTCAGCTGGGGGGTGGGAGGGTGCACCTCAGAATCTGAAACAAAGACTAGAGGTCCACTCAAAGGACTCAAGAGGGAACTCAGGCTGACCTTGAACTCACAGAGATCCACCTGCCTCTGCCTTCCCAGTGCTGGGACTAAAGGTGTCACCACCACACCCAGCAAATGTAATTTTTATAGACACAATTCAATTCATGTCACTTTCTTTTTAAAAATTATTTTATGTGTATAAGTGTTTACCTGCATATATGTAAGTGCACCATATACATGCAATGCCTGTGGAGGCCAGAAGAGGGTATTGAATCCCCTGGAACTTAACAGTTGTTAGGAGCCATGTGGGTGCTGGGAATCAAACCCTGGGTCCTCTGCAAGAGCAGCAAGTGCTCTTAACTGCTGAGCCATCTCTCTAGCCCTATCATGTCACTTTACTTACTGCAATATTCACAGTACTGAACCCACAAGATCTGAAGTATGCTTGTATGTAGCAAGGGAAAATTCTTCACAGAAGAATAAGGACTAATGAAGTGGAGATTAGAAACCACCATCTTAAAGCCTTATACAAAGTAATGGATCTAGATACAATTATTATTTGATAAAATCACTCTATGAAAGTCAGTGGGCCTGGGTGATGGTCTGCTCCTCTAATCTCAGCACTTGGGAGGTAGAGGCAAGGGGATTATGAGTTCAAGGCTACCAATGGGCTCCAGGAGACCACATCTCAAAAGAGGGCTGCCAGGTGTGAAGCACGCCTTTAATCCCAGCCTCTGTAAATTTAAGACCAGCCTGGTCTACATAGTGAAACCCTGTCACAAAAAGGAAAAAGAAAAAGGGCTGGAGATATTGCTCAGTGGTTAGAGCACTGACTGCTTTTGCAGAAGTTTGGAAAACAAAGTTAGACTGGACATATGGCTCAGTTGTGAGGCCAGGCTTATTGTGATAAGGACCCAGGTTCAAATCCCATACCAAAATATAGATGATAGGGGCTGGAGAGATGGCTCAGCAGTTAAGAACACTGGTTGTTCTTACAGAAGACCCGGGTTTGAATCCCAGCATCCACATGGCAGCTAACAACTGTCTGTAACTCCAGTCCCAGGGGATCTGACAGCCTCTTCTGACCTCCGCGGGCATTGCACCACACGGGTGCACTTACCTACATGCAGGCAATACACACATACACATAAAAATAATAAAAATTTAAAATATATATATAGCTAGAACAGAAAGAGGATAGAACCACCACTGTGTTTTCACTGAACTTGCCAGACAGCAGGACAGCCTGGTCAAGGCAGATGACCACAGCAGGGGGCAGGTGCCCACAGAACTGGTCATTCTGCTGGCAAAAGGCAGACCTGGTCAGGATCAGACGCCAAATAAACTCAGAACTCAAAGGAAAATAGTACATCAGGGAGGGAAAAAACTACCCAGCAAGACAGACAGCAAGGCATCTGACAGACTTGCTCACCCCTCGTGGAGGGAGCCCAAGTCTCCTTGAGATCATGGTACCAGCTGGCCCCTCATGGAATTAACACAATTTAGAATGCTCTCAAAAATATGTATGTCTCCTTTGGTCTAGCACTCCCATTTCAAGGAGCATCCCTAGACAGATGGAACTGAAAATTACATAAAATGAGTGTACAAGGTCTGTTAGCATGCTCCTGTCTGTGATCAGAATAGGGCGGAAACAATGTGGCTGTCCAGCAGAGGGAACTGGTGGATCAGTTTTGGTGAAGTTCTACACAGACCTAAAAATAATACGCAATCCCAGAGTGCTGATGAGAGTAATTTCAGGGTGGTTTTGAGGAGCAAAACAAAGATGGTGCAGAAGCACACACACAGGAAAGGGATAAGAACATGGCATAGCTTGTTTCTGCAATACAGTCCTGACTACTTGGTCATTTATTCTAAAAACCTTGAAAACTCGGAAGGCAGAGGCAGGCAAATCTCTGAGTTCCAGGCCAGCAGAGTAAGACCATGTCTCAGAAATAAAAACAAAAAAGCCAGTAGTTAAAAGGACACAGGTAAGTAGTACCCAGATGCCTAGCAAGCATAAACCTTTCTGGACAAATATGCCCCCTAGCCGAGAAGACAGAGTTGTGATGGAGATGCCTACAAGTAGCTACCTTGGAAGCAAAGCGCAGTGAGTTGAGGGACTCCGAGACATTCTCTTCCAGGGGGGAAATGTTCACAAACATGAGCCTATGGAAGAGAAGAGGCCCAAGCCAGAATTAGTGGTCTGCCAGGGCTGGACATGCACACACTTGTCTCACTCCTACAGGTCCCTTCAGCCTGCCCCTGCCTCTCACATCTTAGCACTTCCACCTAGGGAGTTCTGCAGCAGGTAGGTGAGCTTGCTGTTCCGGTAAGGCACGTGGGACTCCTGGAAGGTCAAGGAACACAGGTGGTTAGGATAGGGCAGGGCTCTCCATTGGCTCCCCGACCATATCTGCCTACACGCCCATTCCTACCTTATTGCTCAGGGCCATTATGACCAGTCCCAGCGTGGACAGACTGCTGTTAATAGCCTGTGTTTCCCGAAGACGATCCCGTTCCCCTGGGCCTAGGGCTAAGCCAGGGTCTAGCCGCTCACTCCCAGCCAGGTCTACAAGGTTGAGGGGAGCCCCACACTGCAGGCCCCGAGCAGCATGCTCTCCAGAGATCTGCAGCTGGAACACACTGTGGCTCCGAGATGATCTCTCGTTCTGGGCTGTGCGGGCTACAGCTCGATTCTGGCGGGCCAAATGGAGCAGAGCCTCCACCTAGGGACAGGGATCAGCAAGGGGTGGAGTCAGTCAGAAGCCAGGACATGCTGATGGTCTGGCTGCCAGTGAGTCCACTGCAGCCTCTTTGAACTTCCTTTCCAATCAGTTGAGTGGAAATAAGTGGAATGGAAGTTACAGTGTGATAGAAAGAGCAAAATCAGTCTAGCAGTGGCCGTGTGTCATTTAGACAGGACAGCCCACTGCCAGGCCTGTCATACAGGCCTATAACCCCAGCTACTTGGGCAGCTAAGGCAAGAGCATCACAAGTTCAAAGCCTGCCTGGGCTACGGTATAAGGTTGTCTCAATAATAATAATAATAATAATAATAATAATGCAACAAAAAAAGGAAGGAAGGAAAAAGATACAGCTCAGTGGTAGAGCTCTTGCCTTGCATATGTAAGGCCCCAAGTTCAATCCCCAGTACCACAGGGAAAAAGGGAGAAAAAGACAGCTGAAGTGGCCTGAATACTAAAGACCTCCAGAGGAGGAATGACTCGGCAGAGACACCTGAGTCATGATTAGCCAGGCAAGAGTCCTGAGATGCATCACAACACTCAGGCCCCGTCAAAGCAGCCCTACTTTGCAGCCCTTTAGCTAACCTGAGGTCACCCATCCTCATAACCCACCCTTCATCCTTGACTTTCTCTAGGTCCTTTCTCTACCCTGCCCACTCCTCCCCATTCCCTATTCACCTCTTTCTCACAGGAAACAGGAACATAGCGTGCATTGGTGACAGTAAGCTCTTCACTCCCTGGTCCTGCCCGACGAATCTCACACTCGCCACCCTGCCCCTTCCGGGTCCCAGTGGCTAGCAGGTCTCGGACGGTTTCATTGTAGATCTCTACATAACTTGCCACAAAACTATAGGTCCATCCCTGGCCATTCATCTCCTGGGCCACGGAGAAGAGGTGTCGAAGGGCTCGAGGAATCAGCCCCTCTAATTGGGGGTCTTCCCCAGGCCCACCCTCCATTGTGAAGGTCTTGCCACTGCCTGTCTGGCCATAGGCAAAGATGCACACAGGGTAGCCATCCAGGGCTGACTGGACAAGCATGGAGATCTCTTCAAATACTTCGTCCTGTCTGCTTCCTGGGGGGAATACTCGGTCAAAGGAGAAATCATGGCGGGTGGGAGGGGCAGGTGCCCCACTCAGGGTTGCTCGGCGATCATCAGACCGGGAGAGGCTAAGGCAGGTTGGAGGATCAGAGGGCCCAGCAGGGCCAGGGGGAAACAGGAGGAAGCCAGAGGAAGGAACAGGCTCCCCTGCAAGGACAGGGCGAACCCGGCAAAATACCCGGATGTTGCCCTTGAGTTCCTGCAGCTGATTGTGCAGTCGCCGGCGCTCCATCTCCAGCCCATGGAGCTGGTCTCCTCGCTCAGCCAGCAAGGTGGCCTGGGACGCAGTCTCCTGCCGGAGGCATACCACTTCTGCTTGGCTGCTTGATAGAGCTGCTTCTAAGGCCTGCTGCCTCCTCTGCCCAGAGAGACAAAGAGGTGAGATGCAAACAGGGATGACAGGCAGACACATGCCCTGGTTGGCGGGGGGGGGGGGTGTTGTCCTGGCCCATGGACCTCACAGTCCGATAAAGGTAAGGACTGGAAAGATGGCTCAGTGGTTAGGAGCTCTTACTGATCTTCCAGAGGCCCCTTAGCTCGGTTCCCAGCACCCACACAGGTGGCTCATAACCACCTATAACTCAAGGTCCAAGGGATCTGACACCTTCTGGCCCCTGCAGGCACACCCCACACACATGTGGCATATATGCACACAGACACACAAACACAAATAAAAGTAAAATCTCTTCAAAACAGATAAGGGAGACTGTAGAGAAGCCTTACCACTTAAGAGCACTGGCTGCTCTTGTAAGGTTCCGAACACCCACATAGTGGCTCACAACCACCTAACTCCAGTTCTAGGGGATCCAACACCCTCTTCTGCCCTTTGTAGGCACTGCATGACACCAATGCACTTACACACATTCAGGCAAAACATTTATACACATAAAATGAAAATAAATTTAAAAATAAGAAAATAGGAAATCCAGGTTAAGGAGGTGGCTCAGTGGGTAAGAGCACTTGCTGCATAAGCATGAGGACCTGCATTCAAATCCCCAGCACCAACATAAAAGTTAAGGATGGCCATGTGTGTCTGTGATTCTTAATGAGGGGACAGAGCAGGATCCCAGGATCTTGCTGGTCCACCAGCCCAGCCAAAACAGTGAGCTTTAGGTTCAGTGGAAAAGAAAAGGGGGAGGCAAAAAAAAAGTGTGGGAGGGGCACCCTGGAGTGACACTGAGAATGCAGGCCTCAACTAAGGGCAGGATGCAATCCAGAAAGAATCTTCCACCCACACCCTTACTCCCAGCACTCGGAGGCAGACACGGGCAGATCTCTGTGAGACTGAGGCCAGCCTGATGTAGATAGTTCCAGGCCAGCTGGGGCTGCAGGGAGACCCTGTTTCAGCTGATGTCATTAGAGATATGGGAGGTGCTACAGTCTTGGACATCCCCAGGGCTGGTAGCAGGGAGAGACATGTTGGGTGCTATGAACAGAGGAAGAAAGCAGCTGAAGGCAGGACAGACAGGAGTACTGGGTGGAGCTAGGTGGACAGACTCATCCTGCTGGTGACAGTGAAGGCTTCTGAGGCTTCAGGAGGACCTGGAGAGGCAGTGGATGGCACTCTTGAGGCTCTGGCTTTACCTCCTGCTCCTCCAGTCGGGTGGCTAGTGCCCTCCGCTCCTCCTGCAACTCCAGCTGCTCTTTCTGGAGCTCTTGAAGCAACTCCTCCTTTGTGCTCAGCTGCTCCTCGATTTCCGAGACGTGGGCCCTCAGATGCCCCAGCTCCTGCTGGCCCTGCTCAGCCTGGGTCCGTACCCTGGTCAGTTCCTCCTCCAGGGTGCTACACTCTGTCCCCAGGGTCTTAGCCTGCTGCTGGGCCTCTTTGAGTTGCTCCTGCAGCTGCTGGTTATCCCGGTCCAGTGCTTGATTCTTCTCCCGATAGCGTTTCAGCTCTTCATTTAGGTCATACAACTGACCCTTTAAGTCCCAAGCAGGACGTTTGCCAGGTTTCTTCCCTGCTACCATGGGAGGAGCAGCTGATGGCAACATGGGCACAGAAAAGACAAAGGTCAGTGGCCTCTTGGCCCTCTAGCCCTTCTTCCTTCTAGCCTTGAGGGCCTGCACACCTAATGCCACATCTGTCTCCGTCCCCTCTAGACAGGAAGGGAACAGATGACGTTTTCTGGGCACTCTCCACCTTCTCATCCCCCACCCCAGCCTCACTCAGTGGTTATTTGTCACCTACTGCCAGGTTTGGGGGCAGGAGCAGCAGGAGCAGCAGGAGCTGGCTTCTGGTTCCTCAGCACTAGAGAATTGCAAGTGACACAAGAATTATAAACTGGGCATGGTGGCATACACCTATGGTCCTAGCATCTGGGAGGCTAAGGCAGGCGAATTGCCAGTTCAAGGCCAGCCAGACCACCCAGTGAGCAGTAAGTTCAAGGCCAACCTGAGCTATGTAGCTCAGCGGCAGAGCACTTGCCAAACATGCAAGGCCCTGGGTTTAATCCCCAGCACCACCCCTCCCCTACAATAAGGAGCTGCATAGCCGGAGTGCCTCCATCACCATTTTCCTTTGACATGGACCCAAGCCCCTTCCAGCCCAGTGCTTAAGCGCTATTACCTGTACTGACAGCAGTAGAACGAGGTCCTGTCTTCTTGGGGACTTTTTGAGCTGTCCAGGGATGGAAGGGAAGAAAAAGTAGGCCAGTCACTCTCAGATGGCATGTACTGACACAGATTTTAAAGGGTTAGAAATGGGATCCCACCGGGCATGGTGGCGCATGCCTTTAGTCCCAGCACCCTGGAGGCAGAGGCAGGTGAATCTCTGTGAGTTCTGAGGCCAGCCTGGTCTCCATAGTAACTCCAGGCCAGCTGGGGCTACAGGGAGACCTTGTCTCAAAAAGACCAAAAAAAA